ATAATAACTATAACTACATGTAAAAAAAACTACAACATATGCCCAAGGCATATGACTGCTAACCAGGTTGTTGGTTCAAATCCAACAGCCACTCTGCGGAAAGAGGACTGGGCAATCTACTATCTAATTCCATAAAAATTAACCACCTTGGAAACCCAAAGCGGTCACTATGAGTCAGAACTGGCTCAGTGGCAGTAAGTTTGGCTTTTTTTTTTTTTCGGTCCTAATTAAAGGGGGAAAAAAAAAAAAAAAACCCACCTCAGTGCTATGGAGTTGATTCCCAAACACTAAAGAACATTGCAGTACTGCCCCACAGGGTTTCCAAGGGTGTGAACCTTTACAGAAACAGACTGCCTCATCTTTCTCCCCATAGAGCTGGTGGATTTGAACTGCTGACTGTTTAGTTTAGTAGCTGAATGCTTTAACCACTAAGCAACCAAAGCCCCTGTTCTAATAGAAGGAGATACAAATATCACTATATATGCAGTAACATTGTTTCATAACCTATCACTCAACAATTATAAATATTTTTTCTTGCCAATACAGTATGTTTATGTCAGGTTTTAAAAATGTATTTTTGATATTTTATTTTATGAATATTTTCAAAGTTCCCTATTATGTATTAACCATATATTTAGCTAAAACTTTTTGGTTATACCTTAGCTTTTTTTTTTTTAAGATATATCATTCTAAGTACACACTATTTTTTAGAGGTTTGAAAGAGTTTTATTCTAAAGAGCAGGGACGGGGGCTTATGAAGTAAGCGACTTCACATCCAGCTCTGCCAGCTGGTCAGGTTCAAGGTCCCCCAAACCATTTTCTCTTTCCAGAGATACTTATATTCTTGTTTGAGACACTAACATATCAAACCAAACCAACGTATAAGGATTGTAAATTTAATATGAGGCCAGTGGCTTCCTAATGCTAATGGGATGGGGGAACGAAGGTCTCTAAGTATACACTCTAAAAGCTTTAGACTAAAACTTATCTCATTGAATTGATGCATAAGTATGCCCAGTCATTAACTCTCCCTTTCTTGGAAATACAGTGTGTCATATATTTATATTTATATTTTTTTATTTATTTGCCAAATGTAAATGTATCTGATTACTGCTTGAATGCATTTAGTGATTATTAACGGGGTGGGTCATTTATTCTTTAATGGATAGGCCATTTGTATTTTTTTCTCCCTCAGTTGTTTACCCATATCCTTTGACCATGTTTTATTGGTGTCCTCCATATTATTATTTATTTATAAGAATACTTTACTACTAAGGTATCTTTTTTTAAAAAAAAAAACAGATATTTCACAAATAGTTTAGTCTTTGTCTTTTAGTTTTATTTTTGTCAAATTATTTATAAAATTATTTTAAATGTTTTCATGCATTCAGAGCTATACTTTTTCTCAAGTGGTTTCTGCCTTGTTGTCCACCTGAAAAGCCTTTGTCCACCAATGTATTTTCCTTATTTATAAGAATATAGTGAAAATGCTTATAAATTTATAATTCAGTTTTAAACAGAACTTTTTTAAAGCAATGATAGCTATGAGTAAAGTATACTGAGTGATTTCTTAGTGAAAGTTAGAGAGGTCACTTATTCAAATTCCACTTTTATTGTGAGTACAGTGAGATTTGGTTTGGCTTTTTGGATTGCATGATATGAAGTTGGACGGAATTTCAAGAAACAAGAGAATAGTTTTAAATAAACCAGATTTCTGCATTACTCCGTACCATAAATCCTAAGGTAAACACACATGCTGAAGGTACATCACTAGGAACTTGAAATCAGACTTAATCCAAATCTCTATCATTGAAGAGTTTTAAGTAACTCCA